ACAGTTTTTTCAATTTGTTACTCTCCTGATGGAAATACATTAGTATCTGGTAGTTATGATAAGTCCATCTGTTTATGGGATGTTAAGACAAGAAAATTAAAAGCCAATCTGAAGATGGTCATTCAAGTGTAGTTTTTTTCAATTTTTTACTCTCCTAATGGAAATATATTAGCATTTGGCAGTCATGATAAGTCTATCAGTTTATGGAATCTTAAAACAGGAAAATTAAAAGCCAAATTAGATGGTCATTCAAGTGCAGGTTTTTAAATTTGTTACTCTCCTAATGCAAATACATTAGTATCTTGTAATCATGATAAGTCTATCTGTTTATGTGATGTTAAGACAGGAAAATTAAAAGCCAATGAAGATGGTTATTCAAGTGAAGTTAATTCAATTTGTTACTCTCCTGATGGAAATACATTAGCATCTTGTAATCATGATAAGTCTATTAGTTTATGGGATGTTAAGACAGGATTATAAAAAGCCAAATTAGATGGTTATTCTGGAACAGTTAATTCAATTTGTTACTCTCCTAATGGAAATACTTTAGCTTTTGGTAGTGAGGATAAGTCTATCCGTTTATGGAATCGTAAAACAGGAAAATTAAAAGCCAAATTAGATTGTCATTCTAATTCTGTTAATTCAATATATAAGTCTCATGATGGTATTACATTACCATCTGGTAGTCATGATATGTCTATCCGTTTATGGGATGTTAAGACAGGATTAATAAAAAAGCCTAATTAGATGGTCATTCTAATGATGTAAGAACAATTTGTTACTCTCCTGATGGTACTACATTAGCATCTGGTAGTAACTCTATCCGTTTATGGGAAGTTAAGACAGGATTATGAAAAGCCAAATTAGATGGTCATTCTGGACCAGTTTTTTCAATTTGTTACTCTCCTGATGGTAGTACATTAGCATCTGGTAGTCATGATCAGTCTATCTGTTTATGGGATGTTAAGACAGGAAAATTAAAAGCCAATGAAGATGGTCATTCAAGTGAAGTTAATTCAATTTATTACTTTCCTGATGGAAATACATTAGTATCCGATAGTCATGATAAGTCTATCCGTTTATGGGAAGTTAAGATAGGAAAATGAAAAGACAAATTAGATGGTCATTCAAGTGCTGTTTTTTCAATTTGT